ATATATATTTTTATTTATTTTTTATATAATAAATTCGCGAATAATATACAAAACGTGGTATCGCATCTATAAATTGTTAAATAATAACTCACACGCGAGTCTATCACATGGAACGCGATATAATATTTTTTCCATTTTTATTTTTATTTTTTTATCTTGTCTTTTTATCTTTACTCTTTCTTTTTCTCTTTTACTTTAGTTAGAGAAAATTTGTATCATCGAATTATCTCAAAAATTTTATTTGCAAATAATTTCTATCCTCCTTCATCTCTATCTAATAATCAATTACTTCATATTTATTTTTTTTTTTTTCATTTTCCGACACTTTTAGCGCAGATCTTTTGGGGATAATATTATTTCTCTCTTAGTCGCGTTGTAAAAAAAATGAAATATACAAATTTACAATTAAATCAACGAAAAAATACGAGAAAATAGAAAGAGAGAGAGAGAAACGGAAAGAAACAAACAATAAAAGAAAAAAAAAAACAATTAAATCACTCTACATCTCTAATTGCGTGCACCCGAAAAAAGAAAATATTTTTTCTCCTTTTAAACGACAGATCGATGATGCGAGAAAGATGAAAAACTTTGTTAAAGATCAAACGTGTTCCTTCTATTTTTAATATAATTTAATTCTTCCTTCCGTTGTTCCTTATATCCTTGTCGTCAAAGGGGTGAAGATACTGAGCAGGCAGCAGGGGGGGGGAGAGGAAGAGAAGTTAAAGCGACAAAAACTTAAATTCAACTCTTCTGTATAACAAACACACACACACCCACATTCTCTCTTTCTCTCTTCATTCAACCCTTTAAAAAAAAATAGAAGAAAAAAAGCAACAACAGGAAACACAAAAAGAAGAAAAGACGATAAACATCGAATTCCAGCGTATTTGTTTTAAAACACGTCGAGAATGTATATATGTGTACGTGTGTGTGTATTCGCCGCGATAATAAGACTTGTTTTTGTACAACCAATATGATTGCATTTAATCTATCAATTATAACGTGTCGATTGTTGATGCAACAACGACGACGTTGTACGGGGGCGGGAGGAAGTGGGTGGTGGTGGGTTGGTTGATGGTGTAGAGGGAACAGTAGTTAGTTATCGATAAGTTTAATATTAAAATTCGCGGCGTGCCTTGGTGAAAATATTTCATTCGGCTTGGGTCGCGTGCTTTCGTTTCCACACGCTGGAATTCGAATATTTTCTTCTCTCTCTCTCTCTCAAAAAAAAAAAGAAATAAAAAAAAAGAAAAATCACGAGGATTTTCTATCTTCCCTTTGCTCTCCTCCTCTTCCTCCTCCTCTTCCTTTTCTTCTTCTAGTTTCATCCCTTCTTTAGTACAAAAGTCCAGGATGACACAACTCTTGCCTTTTCCCTTTCGTTGGCTGTCGTTTACTTTACGGCTTTTAACCGTGCTGTTTCAACTGTCGTGGAAGCAAAACGTCCTTGTCAGACACGCGAACGTTTCTAAAGCTTTCACCCTTCTTCTCTCTCTCTCTCTCTCTTTTTTCCTCTTTATATCTCTTTTTTTTCTTTCCATCCAAACGTAAGAAGAAATCCCACCAACCAACCAACAGAGGTCCGACGACAATACGCGAGAATCGAGATCAGCAGCGTTGGATATGGTTGAACTTTCTCGCGGATCTTACCAGAAGAAGAAGAAGAAGAAAAAGGTGAAGCTTTTATTTATCTTTTTTTTTTTAGGAATGAAAAGATCTGCTTGCTTCCTCCTATCTACCTTTCCACCCACTCTCACACAACCAGTCACCCCTACAACGAGCACGCGAGCGTGCGCATCATGCAATCCGTTCGATTTTATAGCACGTTGGATTATTAGTAATAGGAAAAAAAGAAAAAAGAAAAAAAAATAAATGGAAATATATATTTGGATCGATATTTTTTCATCGATCATTTTCTCGTCTCCTATTTTTCTTTTTTTTTCTCTCTCTCTCTCTCTCTATCTCTTTTTCTCGATTCCAATTTTGATAATCAGTCTATAATGAGAGAGGGTGGGAATGATGGGGTTTCCCGTTGAAATCTTATTACGCGAATTATTTTATAATCTGATAATACAAATCGTCCATTAATCGAAACGTACAGTTACGGATTTTCTTTTTTTTTTTTTAAGATTTACGTCGTCGAAAAAATTTCATTTGGAATTTCGAGTTTTCGCGAGTCTCTCCACAACGAGATCACTTTTCTTTTCTTTCTCTCTCTTTCTCTCTCTTTCTCTCTTTCTCTTCTTTCGCCTTTTCTATTTTCTTTCTTCGAATCTTCTTGGACCCATTTTTGCAAGCCAGCCTCTATATTTTTCTTCTCTCGTATTCATTTAATTTCGTTTCATTTCGTTTCATTCGACTTTGTTATTCATTTCTTGTGTTATTTTATTTCTTTTTTATTTATTTATTCTTTTTGTTTTTTAATTGTTTATTTTTGGAAAAAGAGAAGCGCACCCCACGCCGAAAAATCGTCGATCAAAAAAAAAAGAAAAAAAGATAGAAAAAAAACGCATCCGCGTTAACACAGATTGACACACTCTCAAAACGAGGGACTTACGGAATTTGTACTCTTTGAATGTATATTTAATTAATGAGACGATGCAACGTTACTTATTTCATACAATCATGAATAACTTATTCATCATCATCATGATCATCGTCATCAAAATCATTTTCTTTTTCTTAGCTTTTTTTTTGTTTGTTTGTTTGTTTCACATTTATATACTGTTTACTTAATTAAAGTTAATAATATTAACGTGCATCTCGCTCGCACGACGCTTAAACGTATACGTGTTATTTTTTTTTATTTGTTTATTTGTTTGTATGCTTACACCATCCTTATCGTTTTCTATATTCTGTAAATTTGTATATGTACGTACGTATTTGTATACGTATTTCCATACCTATTTTTATATATATATATATGTATGTATGTATGTGTAGTGTGTGTGTATTATTTATATTTCATAAATCACATGTCTCTACGTCTACACGTTCGCATATTTCTTAACTATAAATATTTTTAACGTGTTTCTCGCGTGTTATTTGTGTGTATAATAATATTTGTGTTATACATAGACGTTTTATTTTCTTTCTTTTTTCTTTTTTATCGTTTGTTGTTCGTATGCGTGTTGTGTTATCAGGTGGAAGTTATTAGCTTCATTAATTAACTGTAATGCTTATCGAGAAATCCGCAGACATTCGTACCGCAGATTCGTTCCATTTTTTTTCTTTCTTTATCTCCCTCACCCCCTTTTGCAAAACTATTCCGGTTATTTATTAATACTTCGACCTTTGTTCTTTCTTCCAGAAGGACGATTAGGATCCTTTTTGCTATTCCCACTTTTCATCCCTCTACTAACCCTCCTAAGCTACCCCCTCCTGCTCCCACCTCGCTCCCCCCTAATCCCTCTCCTCCTCGCTTACCGTAAAACACACAATACGTTCGTGTTTCTCGTAAAACGTTCATTTTCCACTTCGAAATACCAACTTATTATCGTTAGTTTTTTTTTTAACTTCCGCGATGAGATCTTTTTCTCAACCGTTTTGTTTCTTTTCTTCTTTTTTATTTTTTTTTTTTTTTGTTTATTTATATATATTTGTTTTTTGACGGTAGTAGGGAGGGGGTGGGACGGGTATGTAATGGTTCGATTCTTTTCTCATTAATATTTTGTTGTTTTTGTTTTTACCAATTTCGTATTTTTAAAAAAATGTTTTTTTTTGTATACCTCCCTTCCTCCCTCTCCCTCTACCTCTGTCTATCTTCTTTTATTTTTTTTTAGTTTTTCCTTTATTTCTACCTACCCTACCTCCCTCCCCCCACCCCACCATTTGTATTTCTCCTCGAGAAAATAAATCAAATTACTATTTTCGTAATAGATACACGAGAGGTGAACAAAAAAAATAAAATATAAGTAATAACATACGAGACACGTGTGGGGGATGATAGTACACGTATAATATTAATTAGCATTTTTGTGTTGCGCATCTACTTATTTATTTATTTATTTTTTGTTTTTTTTTTTTTGTTCTTTTTTGCGTTTTGTTTTATTTATCTTTCCTTTTTGACATATCCACACATCATCCTGTCTACATTTGAAAAATCGTGTTGGTTCGATCTTTATATTGCGATCGATGGTTCCTTCATTACGCGTGATCGCGATGATAATTAATTTCTCTTTTTTTTTTTGCTCTTCTGCTTCTTATTTTCTTTTTTTCTTCTTCTTTATTTTTTTTTGTTCTTTTTTCATTTTCTGCTTTTTTTCTTCTTCTTCTTCGTCATTTTTTAAATACGAATAATGTTACATTGATATAACACCATAAACAAAAAAAAAGATACGAAACACGGTCGGTTGGTCACCGAAAAAGGAAATAAAAAAAAAAGGAAAATTAAAAGAAAAAAGAAAAGAAAGAAAAAGAAAAAGAATGGAAAAAAAAACCGAAAACGAAATGAAAATATAATTTGCTTTTTACTTATTAATAAGATAAAATAAAATAATAAAAGGGGAAAAAACGGAGAGAGAGGAAGAGAGAGAGAAAGAAAAAAAGAAAGACGGAAAAAAAACGATGGTCTCCCAAAAGGAATTTGGCGTAACTCTCTCGCGTGTAATATTTTATTTTATTTTATTTTTTTCTTTTTATTTATTTATTTTTATTTCTTTTTACTCTTTTCACGTTTTCTCTTCCCTCGTCTCTCTCTCTCTCTCTCATTCTCCTAAAATTATTTTTCTTTTTCTTTTTTTCTATTTCTCTGTCTCTCTCTCTCTTTTTTTTACATGCAAGGAAACTAAGAAAAGATCAATACCAAAAGGTTAGAATGGGTTCTCTCTTGTTTCTCTAATCGGCCACGCACAGCAGAGGGGCCCCCATAATATACCATCATATACCACACGTTCAATTTTTTTTCTTTATTTTCTTTTTTCTATTCCTTTTTCTAATCCCTTTTCTCCTTTACGAGAGGAGTCCGAGAATTTTATCGCGTACCCTCCTCTCTCGATCATTCTCTTATTCCTCCTCCTCCCCCCAACCCTACTTCTTCTCCTCCTCCTCCTCTTCGACGCAAGCGGACAACAAAACGAACGATCTATGCTTCGTTCCAAGAAGAAAAACCATGATCTATTACTTATAAACTTACGAATATTTAAATTAAACTAAATTAAAGTAAACTTAACTAAAGTAAAGTAAAGTAGACTAAACTAAACTAAATTAAATTAAACACTAGACGAAGCATCATCGATCGTTTTAAAAACCGATTGAAATTTACGTGAAGAAGCGTACACCCCTGCCGAATTTAAACTGCTACTCCCTCCTCCCTAACACACCACCCCTCCCTCCCACCCGCCATCCTAAATGCGCTACAAGTTGTCCTAGTCGATTTTTGGTTTTTTTCTTTCTTTTTTTTCTTCTTTCTTTTCTTCTTCTTCTTCTTCTTCTTAAATTCGGTAGAGAGAAAAGGAAGAAAAATATTATTATTTATTATTCTCCCCTCTCGCCTCGTCGATTCATTTCGCATTAATGTAAAAGAAAATAAAAAAAAAAAATAAAAAGGAACGAGACCAATGAGAGAACGGAAAAAAAAATGGACACCAACGACGGAAAGAAAACAAATATGATGTTGTCACGTGGACGAGACAGAAGATAAGAGCGAAGAGAAACGATCGCAACTATCTCCTACCTCCTCCTCCACCACCACCTCCTCCTCCTCCACCCACCCACCACTTCTCCCCTGCTTCTTCTCTTCTTTCTCCTCCTACGACGAACTGGCGCCGTTGTATCGGTTAACTTTCTATCAATTTTTTTTTTCCTTTCCCCCCTTCTCCCCCTAATTAATTATTCTTTCTCTGTTCTTTTTTTTTTTATTATTTTTTTTCTTCTTTTCCCCCTACCTCCCTCCCGCCTTTTTAATCTAACGTAAGATATACATCATCACCTTCGACTTGCGCTTGCTTATCGATTCGTTACATCGGATTTTGTTTTTTTTTTTTTTTATTATTATTATTTCCTTTATTCATACACACACTTTCTTACTTTCTCTCTTTCTCTCTCTCTCTCTCATTCTCATTATCATTCTCTTTCTTTCTCTCTTTCTTCACCTATCTCAATCAAACATCTCAATAAACCCCATTCTCTCTGTTTATTCTCTCTCGCTCTCTTAAAAATATGTACAATACTTCATTTCGCTCGATAATTTACACTCTCCAACCACAACACAACATCTTCTCTCTCGCTCTCTCTCTCTACGTAACACCACAACAACACTCGAGTCTTGTCACTATCCAATTCTCTCTTTCTCTCTCTTTCTCTCTCTTTCTCTCTTTTTCTTTCTTTCTTTTTCTTGTCACATTTTACTCGGTGCAATCTTCGCTCGCACTTAAGAAAAAACCTTCTCTTCTTCTTCTTCTTCTAGTAGTTTTCTCGAAGCTAGTTCTTCCAAAAGACAAGAATGGTCCTTTTCGTTCTTTTTTTTTTTTATCAGTAACCTTTGTTCTTCCTTTTTTTCTCCTTTTCTCTTTTGTTTTTTATTTTCTTATCTTATTCTTCCTCTTCTTTGCTATCCACAGACATTATCTACCTTTCTCCTAACACCTTTTCTCTCTCTCTCATCCCTACACACTTTTCTTCGTTTTGCCTATTTCTATCATTTTTCTCTGACTGCAGCAGGGACCAACCAGCAGCCAGTTTTGTTCTTCTCCTTCCTCTTGTTGTATACATACATGTAAATATGTATACGAAACACGCGTTCTCACAATTGGACGATTTTCGACCAAATTTATGTTTTACGTGAATCCCAAAAGTATTCGATAAACAATAATCGAACACGCGTGTTCTTTGCCCAGGTATATAAATGTATATACGTGTACTGTGTGTATGATGTTGCGTGTATGTATATTATGTGTACTTTTGCACCGATACTTCGCACGCCGTCAATCTCCGTTTAACACCCGAAGGATTTTTTCCACCGCCATATTTTTTTTTCTTTTTTGCTTAACATCTTCGCGCGCTCTTTTTATTATTTTTGTTTGTTTGTTTGTTCCTCTTCTCACAACACAATATCTCTTCTCATCCTCTCCTTTATCTCTTCTACGTTTTTCTCTTATTTTTAAATTCTTCGATTTCTTTATTATCCTTCACCTTCGGTTCCATTTCCACCTTTTCTATTCTTTCTTCTATGTTTTTTTCTCTCCTATCTTTGCTACCTCGTTCTCTCAAACACTTCTTTTCCACTTTTTTTCTCCGCCACCGCGCCATCTTTTTATCTGAAAATAATCAAAGGAAAACGGAGATTGTAAGAAAATTTATTCATTTTTTCCCACTTTCGTTTTTTTTTTATACAGATTCTCTATTATTATTATTATTTATTTATTTTCTTCTTCTTTATTAAGAGATTGTTAAATCTCGCGTGAGTCCGATAAATGATAGAAAAATTTGATTAATGTGTATCCTCTTTCTATGTTAAATCAAATAATCGTTAATCAACGTTTATACCAATCCGAATATAATTGCACGTCAAATTAATTTTTTTCATGGGGGAGGAAAAATAATTATAATGAAGTGATAAAAAAAAGAAGTAAGATATTTAAGCCTAGGGTTTAGCAGAACAGAAAACTTTTTCGGTCGATTTAATTTTTCGTCTTTTCTAAATATAAAAACATATATGAATATATATACCTAAAGATTGTCCATCATTTCAGAAAGGGTCAGCCTGGATGTAGACATTGCGACGCCACTATCGCTGCTACTTTGCACGCTGCTGTGGTCATCGGTATCTGACTGGTTGCTGGTATAGCCAATCACGTCAACTTCATCTATAAAATAAAGATAAGAATTCAAAATATTAAATGTTATTAGTCGAAAGAGATATATATATATATTCTAAACAATGATACAAAGGAAAACTAAAATACAGATTAATTGATAAAATATATAAGCGTATGTGTATATAGGAGTATATGTATGTAACGTCAGTCTCAAAAATTTTCCAATGTACTCGAAATGAACGTGAACACCTGCTGTATTCTTTTTCATATATAAAATCTTCTTGCTCGCTATTGTGTTAGCCTTAGGGCAACGAATATATACTTTCAACAGTGAGTAGACACAAAGTATATCTGAGAAACCGAACTGACTCTGCTTTTTATCTGAGATTTTGTTGCTGCTACTGCTCTTCTCTCCCTGTATATACACAAAATATCCTTCGGTATTTCAAACGATCGACTCGTTCGTTCTATAAGGAACAACACACAATGTCCTGACTACATTTCTTTTCCCTTTTTTTTTTTCTTTTTTTTTTTACGGAATATAAACGTTTGTTCTTCTTTCTTTTTTACTTTCTCTCTTTCTTTTTATTTCTTTTCATATGTATTTTTCAAAGACAAATAAGTTGCCCTTTTCCTTTATCAATATAAGATAAAAATTCTCTACTCGCGAATAAACTTAAAAATCTCATATCAGTTATATAAATATTTATCCGTTTAAAAATGTCAAAGAGAGAAAATTAGAAGAAGAAAACAAAAAAAGAATAGAATATAATCTACGAGTAACTTTTTATCGAATAAATGATTAATGTTTAAACTAGTACATATGTGTTAAAACAAGCTGAAATATAAAGAGAGTGCATTAGAGTATTCAAATAATTGTTAATTAATCGATACAAGTGTCTATTATTGTTTAAAAACTCGGAATATTATATTCGGCGCACCGTCCTCTTTATTTTTAATATGATTTTCCGAACTTTGCGCATGTGTATAAAGGAAATAATATATCTAATACATAATACTTAAGATTATAACGTTCTCATTTTAGCATTCTTTTAATTTATACGTAATTGTTTAAACTAATGTACATTTATTTTAACGTTCCTGTGCAATGATAACTTCGGGGAATATAATTATATGTTTCCGATAAAGAAAATGTCCGAAAGAAATGTCATTCTATTGGAAAAGATTTTAAAAGTGAGTTTAGGAATGCAATATGAAAATAAACGAAAGAGTTTGACCATTACTTTTAATTAAATACAAATAGGAAAAAAAAGAAGAGGCAAAAAAAAACGAATGAAATATCAAGTAACTTATAAAATAAGAAAAGAGATAATAGATAGATAGGTAGATAGAAAGATAGATAGAAAACGAAGAAGAGAGGAGAGATAAGAGAAAGAGCCTTCGGGTTTGCACGATGCTTGCTCTTTGGTAAAACATCGCCGAGGCAAACTTTCGCCTCTGTAAATTATAACCACCTATATTTCTTTCTTTCTTTCTTTCATTCTTTTTCTTTTTTTTTTTCTTTCTTTCTTTTTCTTCTTCTTCTTCTTTGGCCCTAAGGCACCCACGCGTCGCAGAGGTGTGCTTTCTTCGCGAACCTTTGTGGTACACTATTAACCAAAAGTTTGGATTCACCCAGGTATGCACAGATATTCAGAGAGAAACGACATTTATAAGAAAAAAAAAAAAAATAAAAAAAATAAACGTCTTAGGAGGAGTAAACAAACGAGAACATTTTTCCTTGTCATCGAAAATAAAAAAAAATTAACGAATTATACCCACGTTTTTTACGTTTTTGTATTTTATATATATATTGTTGGCGTTAATTTTTTTCTTTCATCCGAAACAAAAAAGAAAGATAAAAAAGAAAACATAAATACCACTTTTATTTTTAGCTCGACACATATTCCAAGTATCCCCTGACAATTAATTTTTAATTTTTATATTTTGAAAAGCACATCCACAATAGGAAACGTTCGTCTGTTTTGAATTGTTGCTGTACAAAATTATGCAAGAATATTTTTATTAACAGAAAAAGATATTGATATCGTTTTTTAAAACGTAATACGATTTTTCGATAATATTTGACACTAACAAACAAGATACAAATTTACCGGTGTAATAGTTTCTTTTTTTGTTTTTTTTTTCTTTTTGGGATGGAAATTATCGAACCGATTTTCAAACTTTTTGCGGTTAGTGTATTACGTATAATTTATATACTTTACATACATATGTACATAAGTACATATTTATGTACTGTGTCCCATTGTCGCGTTTGGCCATCGTTGTCGCCGACTTCGTTCAGGGTGCGACCGGTATAAATTATCGGAAAGATTTTATCGTACGCGCGAGAAAGTTCTTCTTTCTCTTTCTCTCTTTCTCTCTTTTTCTTCCACCTCCCCGCCCCTCTCTCTCTTTTTCTATGCACCCCGTTCGTAGCCAGAGGGCTGAAATAGGTGTAAGTACGTCATCGATTTTTACTTTGAGAACTATGGCCCTCTCTCTCCCCCTTGCTACTAAATTATTTTTCTTTTATTATTATTATTATTATTATTATTGTTATTCATTTGCATTTTATCTCTCGTTATATATAACTGGTAATAATAATGTCCTAATGAATAATTCTAAACAAAAATCGCGTTTGATTATAATTATCTGATTTATTATTATCTTCTATTTCCACAGACACACACACATTCTCTTTTGAAAAGAAAAGTGGAAGAACGAATAAAACGTATACTAATAATTCATCCTTTTTTTTTACGATACGTTTGTATTACATGCATGTATTTACCCTTCTGAACCACCCTCCTCCCCACTCTACCCTACCGACACTTTTCTTCTCCACTTATACGTTCCTTTTCGCTTCCTTCGCGTTTTTCGTCGTACACGTACGAGAGTTAAAGTATGTCAGTGGTTAAAAATAATCTTTCGAAGTTCGTTAAAAATATATTCCACCGGTCCGACGGTGTCCGTCAAAACAGCGTGCGCCTGAAAGAAAGAGAGAGAGAGAGATACACGGATAAAATATAAGCGTGTATATTCATATGTGAGTGTGTGCGTATTGCACGGTTTTGCTCTTTGTCGATTCGCCAAAGGAAAACAACATTATATCAACGTCGGACGTAATACGTGTGACCCGTCCATCGTTTATCGTATGTTTTTTCGTCGAACATGAAGAAGAACCAGGGGTCCATTTGCGAAAACGAAATGAGTTTTCTCACCGTATCATTCTCTCTTAATCTTTTTATGCATTTATCAATACATACATGCATATACGATATATATATATACTCGTAGCATAACATGTATAACAAATCCTGACGCGCAACCCAGACACACAAGTTGCATTTGCAGTTGCAATTAAAAAGTTAAAAAAATATATAATAAAAAAAATGCAGTTGCATGTGCAGTTGCAGTTGC